CCCACCCGTTCTTTTTGGCAATTTTCCATGTTCAAGACCCTGGGCTTATACCCGGATAAATACGATATATGTAGACACCTTGGGTGGAACGCTGACAAATTTGTTCACTTTGTGATAGTTTTAGTATATATTTTTTGTGAAAAAATTCTATTTATAAAACAGAGCTTTATATCAGTCAACAAGCTGATTGTATCATATATTCAAGTCAAACGTTTTATTCATTTTTTTGCGTGAAAAGTAGTACAGTGACTATATATTTGTATCTGAGTTTTGTGAACATCTTAAAAAAAATAAAACTACATTGTCAAATTAAAAAAAATCTTATTCGTTTTATAGTACACCAATTTGTTATATTTTTGTTACATTTCACAGTGCACAAAAATACAATTGTTCTTTCTATTGATGGCTGTAAATGTTCTCATACATGTATTTGTCTTCTACAGAGAAAACTGGGTCAGCTACAGAGTTTAGTTATGCAGCTCCTTGGGGAAAAACAGTATTTACATCCATATAGCAGAACTAATAATAAACTAGGCCAAATGCTACCAGATACCACTATACCAACATCGGCTCAGACCACACCCAATCAAAATAAAACATTTGGTAGTAACTTACATAGTACTCATCTAGACGGTAAGTCAGGTATTAAATCATTTCTTGTGAAGTTTTTGTAGGAATACCTGAACAAATTGAGTCAATGTGAAGCTGTTTACAAGATTGTTTCTGATTGGCTACCAGTCCTAACACCTAACAGTTGGGCCAATCCGAGAGCATCTTGTTTGTTGATAGGTATTTCGACATAAATGTAAAAGTATTAATCATTCATTGTGTTTTCATTTTGCTAATAAGTAAAATTCACTAAATTAAATCTGTGTACATGTATATGCTTCGACCCAACTACCCAAATGTAGTTCACTGATGCATAACAGTGGTCGGAGATGGCGTGTACTGTCATGTTACCCTTATTATTCTTGGCGCACTGTCTGTCTGACTGACTGTCTGACCGTCTGTTCACTTTTACGTACATAACTAAAGAAATTCAACACTCATAATTTTTAAAATTTGGTCTGTATGATGTTCGTACACTTGTGGTGGAAACAATGCATTGCATATATTACAGAGGGGTTACGGTTTCTATTAGAACATCTACGCAAATGAGAAATTGTGATTTTTTCGTTTTCAATTGTTAAAAAAGAATAGGTGCGACTTCTATTAGGGAAGAGGCTTCTAATACAGATTTTACTATATGATGTCTGATGGCCATGCTGTTCTGGTCAAGACAAGATGTGTCAATTGCATCCTTTTTTGCTAACTCCATTCCTACTAGTACATTACTGTTAGTTACATGTATATTCAGTTACAGTAGCAGGTACACCGTAGTCCACCAATCAACACTGAGCTTTACTCACTTCTCATGAGAAACAATGCTTTCCTGTATTACTCGTATATGTAGACCTGAAATTCATGAAAAAACAGACTTAATGACCAGTTTGACTGAACCTTTTTTTCAACATACACGTAGAAGAAAACCTGAACCATCCTGATCTGATCTCACTTAATATCAATTTTTTTTTTCATTTTCTGTATTTCAATTATTTTTATCCAGATTATGACTGGCCGTCTTCAGACACAGAGAGTATGTCCTCGGACGAGGTAGAAATAACTGGGAATCATGTTGCACCGCTCACACCAAACTCAACGAGTACACCAAGTAAATATGTACCTCAAGGTGAGAGAACAGCCAAGCAGATCATGGAACTATTAGAGCTTATGGGATCACCAAATAGCATTGACAAACATTCCTTATTAGACCATGCTTTTTATCCATGCCGTTGTTGTTCAGGAGAACTTATTACGTTATAACGACAGTGAACCTCTGCAAGTATTTATCCCCCGATCCCCCTAGATGAGGAATATTCAGAGAGGGACTATATATTCATCTGTTACCATGGCAATAGGTGAACTTGTTGCATCCGGTGATGGTGATGTTTATGGATTCTTTGCAGCTACAAGTCAACATCAAAAGATCTCTATCCCATACTCACTGTATTCTCCCATGCATTGTCTACAAATTCAGTGTTTTTCGATTGTTGGCTTTGCTTCCTGTTGAGTTATATCGTTACAATGCCTGCTCTGCTTTCGGGGCAGTTTTTATTCAATGGTGTCGGAAACAATGACAGGAATTATGTGAAACAAGCAACACTGTACTGCGTACAAAGAGATGGCACAGACCAGCTGACAAGAATACACTGCAAAAAAACTGAAAGATGCTCAACACAGTGACTGAAATAATTCAAATTGATTTCACAGCAATCTGGTTTATTTGTTAATATGTTACCTTCTGACAACCACTTCTCGTGATGGAAGTAAAACTTTTGCACCATGGAGATACCATCTTATCTGCCTCTATACCCCCCCGAGTAAAAACCAATTATTACTACAATTTCATGTACATATATTATTACCAGTACAATTTATTGTAAATTTTTTTTCTGCTGTATTATTCTATAAATTATGAATTATTTCCGAAATGTCTTCAGTTGATGCAATATATGTACATAATATTATAGAGCAAAGAACTAGTACGGAGTATAGTGTTATGTTGTTTATATTTTACAATTTCTTTGAAATTTGTATAAACACGTACTTTATATTGGTTACAATTGGTTGAGGGCTATTTGTATGCGCTTCTGTTGCAAAAAATATGCGTCCCTTTATTATTATTTTTCATTCCTAAATAAGCTGATTGAGGAGATGTTTTGTTAACACTGATAAGAAGCTTTTTTAATGTACCTTATTATGATTGCACTATTATACTTTCTAGTAACATAAATTCTGATGGGATTTACCAGGGTGTGAGATGGGTGGAAGAAAACAAAATAAAACACAGAGGTATGTTTATTCCCAGTTGATCTGTGGTGGTATGGAATCAAACAAGGTACAAACCCTCTGTGTTTTAAGCACATTACACAAATCTTAAATTTGGTGAAAAACTCATCACCATTCTTGACATATCAGGAGAGCATGGTCAGATAAATTGTGTACAATGATGTACACTCTTATCTTACTTGAAAATACTTACTACAGTAGTTATATACAGTCCCGAATGTGATGAAGATTTAGGAATAATCGTTTATATTTGCTACCACGTTTTCCTCACTGCATACAAAGTGACATTCCCATACAAGCTGAACATTGAAACTGGGCAGTGCCTACAAGCTGAGCAGTTCCAACACGCTGGGCAATGCCTACACATGCTGAGTTGTACCTACACGCTGGTTTGCAAGTCGTATCATTAATATCTCATCAGAACAGAATCAGAAAACAATATTCTTTTAATTCTCTGATAATTGAGAGACATGCATGCAAGCCTTCCTATTATAGTCATAAATATGCTACATTAGCCAGCTAAAAACCCCTTCCCCAGATGGAGATAATGCTCCAACACAAACGTCTTATTACTAGCTTAATACAAAGCTAAAATTAATTCAAACTGCTCTGATTGTGAAAACTTTGTGTGAAGATTTTATTTTATTTTAAAGCCAATATTACAAGAGTTTAAGAGAAGTTGTCCCATTATCCCAAGTTTTGTCGGCCTTCAAAATAATATTTAAACGGTAGATGCATTTTATGCTAATTTGAACAGGGCAGTGGATGTGCTGCTGGTTCCAAAGTATCACCACAATGATAATGAACTCAATATCTTTTAATTATATTTTTTGTGAAAATCCAACTCGCAAAGGTGATGCAGTTTCTGTTCCCATGGAAACTTTTGTTCTATTTCACAACAGTGTGTTGTGAGAGATGTAGTCAAATAAATATACATTATTTATAAATACATACATGTATACAGTGTCAAGTTTGTCCTGTTCGTGCATATCAGGGTGTTTGTCTCCAACATAATGATCAAACTGGTGTTTCAGAGCACATGTGAAATATAATGTGATATGAATATGCATAGATTGTAGGAAATGTGTCCTAAATATTCAAATTTGAGCACTTTGACAATCATTTCGTTGTTTTTTTTGTGTTCATATTTTACTTGCTACTGCTTTTGAAGCTTATTTTGACGCCTGTAGATTTACCTTTGTTTTTTCACCATAATTACCAGGAGTGATATTAGACAAGGAAAATGTCATCATAAATTACTAACACATCTTCAAATTCACTACCAATAGCTTGTTCATTACATAGAGTACAAAACTTTGCTTTGAAAGTGTTTGATTATATCTAAGGCTTCCTATTGGCAATGAATGAGAAGAAATTCGAAACTTTGGATTCATATTCAAAATTTAATTTAAAATTACAAGTACGGTATGTAGCTTATTCTTTTCTGGTTCAAATACCATTGGCAGCCAGACTATTATAGTGAATTGGGTTTTGGATTCCATAGTGTTAGACACATAACTGATTTGAGTTAATGTGAACAAGTCATTGAAAATGACACAGTCCCCGTTAGGTTCTCTTTGTGCTCGTCATACATGTATTAAAGCGGAGGGGTTGTCGCGAGCATGTCCTTGAAACTTGAGTTTCAAGTGGCGTATACAACAGATTGTTTATTTACATCAAAACACGTGTTTCGTGTCATAGTAATATGGCCAAAATAAAAACAGTCGTTATTCAGCCATCTTTGATCTGATTATGAAACACTGATATGTATGATGTATGTGCCAAATACGAATGAA